AACACCCGCCCGCCTTTGACTATAAGTGTGCAAAGACGGTACGAGTGAGAATTTGCTTGCAATCACTCCAACTTTGAACAGCGAATTTCCCATTCAGTCACTGTGGCCTACTTCAGTCGATCACGTGATTTTTTTAGCAGAAAAGTTGAACTGATTCTCCTTCTCCCAGATATATGGAGATCCAAAGAGTATTTGAAGCAATTTGCTAGTGCTCGAAATGGAGTATCAAGCCCTTTTAAATCTGTTCTGCGTGTACCTAACTTAATGGACTCTGCAAATGACCTAGCAAAGCACGTCTCATGCACAGTTGCAGAAACTCACTGATTCCCCAAACATGGGGCGATAGTTGAAACCATCCTAACTTGACCCTCACGTCTCTCTCTCTCTGTCTCCCCATCAATTTTAGTGCTTGCCCGTGTATATAAATAGCTCATGCCAAGGCTTTCCTGCTACGAATTAAGTTACATTCGCATTAACATTACTAAAACAACGTGGTAACCTTTCTGTCTTTAACAGGAATCTCGACATGGCTGCGAGTTCGAAAGTTGCATTTGCCTTCGTCCTTATCATGGCGGTGCTTATTACCAGCCATGCGTTGTCTTCTGGTGAAGCGAGAAAGCTTTTGGTCGGCACGGACAAGTCGATCGATCGGCCGCGTGTTCCTGCAGTGAAAGCCTCCGTGCCGCCTTCTAGTTTCTTCAAGAATCGCGAATGCATCTCCTTGAAATCCATGCGGGTTCTGGAGGAGTCTCATCCTAGTCCAGGAGTCGGCAACTAACCGCATACAGTGCAGACGCGCAAATACATAGTCTATCGAAAAATCGACCTTTTCACGGGCTATGTACCGAATAAAATCATGTCGTGCAATCGATAATTTCCTGTAGCAATTGGTTAGGTAGACCGATTCGAAAGATCGGCTTTGTTTCTGGCAATTATCTAGGTGATTCTAAGAGACCACAAGCTAGGTTGGGAACACCATCTACTGAAAATTTGCCACATAATGAAGAACGTTCCTATTAGCTTTTTATGCGCTGATGTCTGATATAGTAGTGACTGCATTGATATAATCTTAAGTGGGCTTCGAAGTTTATTTCTGTTTCTTTTAGAATGGACCTTTTTTTAACACCTGCATACGTCGCTAATTTCACAAATAGATATGTCCACTTTGATACCACATGTAAAGTACATTTAATAACTTTATCCATACCATCGACTGAGTAGATAGATCAATCACTGTACCTAAGATTTTGTGAAATTGATGTCTTCTTTTCTTTAGAGTACCACATTGAAAAAGTATATTGAATAGCGATTACATCGTATTGACAATAATAAACGGAAAAATAGGCCAATATATAATGTATGAAATCTCAGCATTCGACGCGATAATCCAGTTGCACCATGCCAATAATATTTTTTCCCAACATGGACGCGCTTAGCGGGCGAGGTTGGTTTATTATAGTGTAACTATGCAATATATAAACCGTGTTTTGGTGCGTCTGGGAGCCAAATGCAAATAGTTTGGTTTTCTTTAATATTAAGAAAATGAAAAGGACAAGGACAAGGATGAACAACGAAAGGAAGCAAATTGGAGCCGGTGAACCCAGATCGCACTAGCCCTCAGGCAACCCAGGCGAGGTAAAGTTGAGGGCCATGCAACATCAAGTGACGCCGAGGGTCACGTGACCTCGGCAGCCCTCGCCCAAGGTCACGAAACCCAGATCTCACTCGTCCAATGGCTACGCAACCTGACCTTAGGTGAGATCTATGGAGACAGAGGCTCGAGCGACCCTCGGCGGCCCTTGGCAACGCTCGACAAAGGCGACCATCAACCTCGGCGGCCCTTGGCAAGCCTTGCCCACCCTGAACTCGCCAAATCTCGCCTCATTCACGACCCTCTAGATCTCACCTAATAAACCCGCGACTGTAGACGAGGCTCAGTGGCCATCGGCCACCCTCGACAACCAACAACTACGGTTTGCTGGCCTCATGTGACCCTCGGCGAAGCTTCACTAGCGACCAGGTCTGCAACGTCAATTTCAAAAGGGATAAGATGAATAGTTGCTCCATAAGGACAAGACTAGAATTTGAAAATATTAATGAGGGCAAAGTTGAAAGAAAAAAATTCATCAATCCTGGGAGTGGCTATCTGAAAATGCTGAACCTGCCTTGGGCTTTCAGCTTTGCCGATGTTGGCATTCACTCAATATTCTCCAAACAACTTTTACTCAAGGGGGCCTTGGAGGCTCAAAGTCCCTTGAGAAAGCTAAACCAAGCACAGTGTTCGTGTTCTTACTCGAGAAATGAGCTAGGATGCTTTGGTTTGACGGGAATCGGTTAACATGTAACAAAAATAATACGACACGAGCAAAGAAACCGTGCAATGCGCCGGAAGATATTAATCTATGAAATTCCAATAAGAAAATATTACGAAATTCTATAGTAAGGATTCTAAAACCACTATCCTGTCACTACTACCTTTAGTATGTTTATAGTGGTTATATGTAAAATAAAAAATGAATCGGCATGCTTAGTCAAAAAAACTACAATATGCTTTTGCCAAAGTTTTTGGGGGCACTCATAATATTCCACTTTATAAATTGCATGTCAACATCACATGCTCTTTTTGACCAAAAAAAGAACACCACATGCTCTTCACTTTGGCTGACCATTTAAAAATAGATTATCCATTTTTGCTGTAATAATTCATTGATTTTTTTCCATAAAATTGGCAACTTAACATTGTTTAATTTTTTTTCAAATACTTAAGTGACAACTACATAAATTACAGTGAAAATTAGAAGTCGCCATAAGTTCAGTACCCGTTGTATGTTGATTTCTTAGTAATTTTGTTGTCATTTTATCGGCACTTTTTCTTTTGACAACATGAAATCCTTTAGTTCACGATTTTTATTATAGTGGAATATTAAATTTATAAATGTACTCGAGTTAACGTAGCATATTTGGCATGTAAAAAGGCTTTGAAATTTTTTTATTGTAGATTTCCTTATCTTATTTACTATGTTAATCAAATTAATTGTTCAAGTGTGATAAACTTTCTTATTTTCTTTCAAGGCAGAAAAGTCACGCAAAAATTTGTACAGAGTATTTAATCGGAAAGGACCGGGTATGAAGTAGTGACGTGGTAGATTGGAACATCGAAATAATCGTTGAACTGGTACAACTAATAATTATTATTGTCCGAACACGCTGTTGCAAGTGGTGATTTTGTATTGGTAAAAAACAAAATTAGGAAAACTAGCAAAATTAAGACTCTGTTTGTTTCGTGAAAAATGAAAGATTTGAAAAAAAAAATCTTAAAAGTGAACGCTTGAAATAATTAGTTAACGAAAAAAATATTATATATTCATTATAGATACCAATTTATGTCAAAATATTTTCGTGAACGATAAAAATATTTTCCATTCTTTATTTTCGTAAGCAATACTAGGGGTGAGCAACTTGGACCGCCCAAACCGGGACCGGACCGGACCGGACCGAACCGACGAGTTTGGTCCGGTTCTTGGGACTATCGGTCCGGTTCCGGTTCCTAAAAGTGGAACCGTTTTCGGGCGGTCCGGTTCCGGTTCCAAGGGGAACGGACGGACCGACGGACCGGACCGGACCGACTATTTAATATATATTTTTGTAATTTTTTTCTTTAAAAAATTAATAAAATGTGAACTAAACTCTAGGTGAACTTCATTATCATAAATTCATTGATAAAAAATAGTAAAATGTAAATTAAACCTAAGTGAACTTCATTGACATAAAATAAAAATTAGTAAAATGTGAACCAAACCTTAAGTGTTTGACAAAAAAAAAATCCTAAACTCTAAGTAACCGGTTCCATTGGACCGGTCCGGTTCCGGTCCCTAGAACCAACGGTCAGTCCGTCCGGTTCCAAAATTGGGAATTTTTCTGATCCGGTTCCCGGTTCCACCAGACCGGACGGACCGGAACCGCTCACCCCTAAGCAATACGATCAATCAACTTTAAGAAAATATATTTTCAAATCATTTATTTTTCACAAATCAAACAAAGCATTAAGGGGAGAATGCGTCACCCATAAAGAAAAAGTTCACCTCATTCATATCCTACTCATGTTCCAATCTCTTTAACAAGCGAGATGATCATTACTCCAGGAGGAGCCAAACATCGTTGGCAATGTTGGGAGCGAGGACGAGGGGTTTGGCATTGAAAAATTTGATTGAACTACTTTCGACTGTTCTAAAAATTTAAACTATTAAATAAATACACGATTTAATATTTAATTATTCTATCGGGCATCAAAAGCCCAACAAAGAATCGAGCCTTCAAGTCGTGATGAAGCCATCCATCAATCAGACCTTCCTGGAGGAGGGTTTTGACCCTTTGACTTGTAGATGGCCGAGAGGAGGACTAGCCCTATTGATTAATTAAATGAAAGTCCATCATGCGATCGTGATGGTTTCCATTCGAAACAGTCCACGTCTATCTAACCTTCCAATCTGGCGGACCCCAAAAAAGAAAGAAAGAGAATCAACGAGTCCCGTGAGGCCTAATGCCATTGGCAACGAATAAGCAGACATTACGTTACAACATTACCGGATAAAGATTGTCGGTTTCCACACACCATCCAATGATGTCTTCCTCTCGGTGTCACCTTCTGTGTGTACTCTCCCATGTGTTCATGTACGTGGCCACCATACTTAAAACACGTCGATCCAATCTCTCTCTCCTTTTCTCGCAGTTTCTGCCACACATGATGATGCTCGATCTAACCACCCATGAAAACCCAATTTAGTACACACTGAATTAAGACCCACCGACAAGAGCCTGCATTTGATAAGATTACGCTGTGCCGAAAGGAAATGACGAGAGATCATATGTAAATGGCATGAAAGACCAAAGGTGGGTAAGAAAGGCTTGGAGACAACTTGCCCAAGAACCCTCTACATGGGGAAGCAGCACCAGCACATAATGCAAAAGAGCGCACACAAAAATAGTTATCAATGAGCAAATAAGAGAACAGTCCAAACCGCTTATATATACTATTTATACAGGCAACATCATGGAAAAGCAACTTGGGAATTCAAAGGTTTGTACCCCCTAAAACACATCCACAGGACCATCCCCTCTGATGATACTAATATTAATATTAACAAAATTTGGGGGGACAGGACACGAGCGTGAACATGAACGTCCAGTCAAAAATCTAAATCCTTTAATATTATATCGTTCAAAGGAAAAAGATTCTTGCTGCCCCGCATCCAAGACGACGGTCCCCCTTCGCTTTTCCTTTCTCCCAGAAAAGGGCCAAAAGGCAAAAGCGACAAAATGCCCCGCGACCAGGAGTTCGAGAGTCCCCACGACAAGATGTACAGCAGCAACCCAGAGAGAGAGAGAGAGAGAGCCCGAGAGAGCCAAGCCCCGTTTGATATTTTCTCTCGTACACCTAAATCTAAACGTACTAAAGAAAAATCAAGAATATATGGCTTCCAGCTCGATCTCGGATGTTTTTCTTTTGTCTTTTTTTGGGGGGTCGCGAAAATCTGACAATTATGGAGAGCATCATAATACATAGGGCTTGTGGATCCAGCTGGACCCATAATTCAAGATTTTCACCTTGACTTGGAGTTCAATAGATAAACCTGGCACTGTACCACCGTTTTACCAATCTTGAAACCCGGGACTACTGTGAACGCTACCCTTGGATCGTATTCCGTGGTGTTGAACGCTTCTTCTTCCGCGATCGTTTCCATGTACACTTCGGAGAACCTGGACCCCTCGCTCACCTGAAAGATGGTGCCCTCCGGCTGGAACGAGAAGGCCAGGCAGTGAAGGAGCCACACCCGCTTCGCCATCTCCGCGAACAACGCGAAGAATGTGGTCTCCGGGAATTCGCCCGCGCTCATGAGGTTCCTGTGGCTCGTGTTGCCGAAGAAAGCCATTTCCATTCTGGGGTGGATGAGTCGCAAGTACTTGACCCGACAGAATTTCGCGAATGTCGATCTCGGTTTCTGGGCCAAGTAATCCTTCGCCTTCGAGGACTTCAACTCCACGAACCTCTCAAAAAAGACCTGTTGCCATCTTCTCCTCTCGGGCAAGGAATCGTTGGAAAGGGAAAAGTAGGGGAATTGGAATCCATCAAACATTTCCCGGCAAACAAAGGACTCGAACGCGAAACACTTGTGATCCGGTCTCCAGTAAACAACTCCAGGTTCTATTGCACTGGCTGCTGCATCGACATCCCAGTCCGCAGATTTCATCTCGTCGATCAACAACCTTACGAAGCTCCGAATGGACTTTACAGTATGGCGAAGTACAGTAACGAAATGGTTAGGACTGATGCCAGAAAGGTGAAGATTATCCAGAACAGACAAGGGGCCACTCTGATTTAACCTCTTCTCTGTTAATCTGTTTTGGTTGTTTAACGACTCCAGCTTCTGTTTAAGAGATGCAATTTCAGAGTCCTTGACTTTCTGCTGAAACTCCATCTTCTTGCGCATTACTTCGTATGTTTTCAAGAGAGACTTCTGCTCCTGGATTTCAGCCAGAAGCATTGTGGTTTCCGGCGAAATATCAAACTGTCTCTTCACATAACATTGCTTCAACTCAGACAAGTTCTTCAACTCGGAAACAATCATTTGGTCAGCGGACTGAATCCCCTCAGCATCATAAGGGGACTGAGCCAACTGTAACTGGGCATACGCCGCTTTGACAGATGAAATACTGGCAAATATTTTAGCAAGAAGAGCCTCTAAAGCCTCTCTTTCTTGAATTTCATCTTCCTCATCATCAAACATAGAATCACTGTTGGGATCACCTTTCAACTGACTATCCTTGACCACCACCTTCTGAGGCTTAGGCTTCTTAATTTCATCATTCGGGGCAATCCCTGTAGCAACACGAATATGAAGAACTTTGGAAAATGTACGTGCCAACCTACTCTTTGACGGAGTGACTGAAGATCTCTTAACGGAATCCATCTGAAAGAGGGAAAACCACAGAAGATAAGGATGATGATTATGATTGTGAATTAGTGAACAAAATACATCAGTTTCTCTAAGCATATAAGAGCAAAAAAGCAAAAGAGAGGTGATGATGAATTTGCTGAAGAAAGAGAAAAGTAGACGCCTTTACACTTAGATTGAGGCCATTTAATGGATGACAAGATCTCTTTCTGTTTCACTATATGATTTCCTTTAATAGTGTCAAATCTCCCTCTTGAAAGAGAAAAAAGTAGATTAGGAGAGGGAAAAGAAAAGAAGGGAGTAAGGATACATAGTAGTTGGAGGAAAGCTTGAGCGCAGTAGACAGGCTCAAAACTTGCACTTGCGATCAAAACTTTCAACTAGGGAGTATGAACAGCACAACCTATATTTCTTACATACCAATTATTAACAACGAAAATCTTCTGAAGGCTAACTATCATTGTCCCAGAAAAACCTCAGTTGCTTACGAGCACCTTGATGGGACAAATATTGATAAAAGTGTTGATTTCTAGAGCTCTCGTGATAAAACTAGAATGTCTCACAAATGCACTGGCTTCCTGCTATTTAAATCTTACTCAGTCTTCGACAAAAAAAAAAAATCTTGCTCGGTCAAAATAAACAAAGAAGCCCATTTTCTTTCCATTGACACTATTACATGGGCAGAAGTGCTATTGCACCTCAGTGTAGCCTGACTTTTTACAACCATTCAGTTCAGCTAGTGCCCATCTGGCACTAAAATAACCAGGACCCACCGTAGTGATATCTCATTCATCTTTGCGGAATATTCAACGTTCCACGGATCATGAAACCGCATGAGTGGCTCCTAAATGAATTTCTAGAGGGGGCAATTTTGTGTAGTAGAGGACTCATTGCTCCGTCTCAATTGAGAATCTATTAGTACTCATCGCATGTATGAAAAGGCAAAACCATGATCACACAGGCCTACGATTAGTCAGGTCATGCTAAGTGACAAAATCACAAAGCAAAATATCAGGGAGCAACTTTTCGAACAAATTTCCAGTTACAGCTCTCCATACCTTACCTAAACACGTTTTCTCTTAGAACGCGCAGCAAGGGAGAAAAAAAAGGGGGGCCATCATCAACTCTCCCAAAACTTTCAAAATGACTATTCATCACCAAATGAAGTCAAAACTACAATGAAACAAGTTTTTTTACGTCCCCACCTAGTGGAAAGTTGTTTTTTATGGCCAGCGTTAGCCAAATACGGTCTAATGAGCATCAATAATCGCGAGGAATTTCATTTGATAATCTGTGAATAGAAGGGAGCTACACAGAGACAGTATTCTAACATCGACTGTAGAAAGTGATTTTTCCTCTTCTAGAACGAAGTGTTTTCATCAATTGATTGCGTTTATGAAGACCAAATTCATGTCCCCAAAACAGCCCTGTTCTCAGATAATGTACACCGGCAGAGCCAAATTCTTACAAGCTTCATCATAGAAAACTTCCAACCAGATCACAACGGCGCTTAAACAAAGAATCTTATAAGAAGCTCCGCAGAACATCAAATAAAAAACATATTACAGAATTTCAGACCACGACAGCAAGTGGATCACTAGACTAGGGCAGACGCAATAGTCCCAACTAACTCGAAAACTCAAAGATTCGTTACTAAGCTCGGTAGGTACATAAAAAAATTAGTTCCGAATAAGAATGTTCAAGCCTCCAATGAAGACATGTTACCATACCTTAAGTAGCTGCAGAAATTTCGGAGCTCTCTTTGTACCTCAACCCGACTTCATTGCAACGTCAATTTCAATAACTAAAATGATGTAACATCGCAACACCCACCAATAGAAGCCTCAAGCCCTGCGCAACCAAACCCAAAAACATCAAGTCCACAAACAAAACAGAAATCTCATCCAGCGAAAAAATCATGAAGAACCCCGAAACAGAACAAAAGCAGGTGATAAGAGGGCAGGTAGCCAAAAGCCCAAAGTCAAAAATAGAAAAGACACCAGAGAGCATGAGGAAGAAATGGAGAAGAAAGCGAAATAGCTAGCGAAGCTCCAAAAAAATGAAACTATAAAAAGAGAAAATGGAAAACGGGCACATCCCAAAAATAGTAAAGGGTAAGCGAAACCAAAGCACCAGTCAAAGGCTCCTTAGTTCACCACAAAAACCAAGAACCAGAAGCAACCCAGGAAACGAAAAAGCGAAAAGCGACGAACTTTACCTCACGCGAGCTCAAAAATCGCTAAAACCCCCCTAAAAACCCGCACTGGGCAATCTCTTTTAAAGGAGAGAATGTAAACAGAAGAACAAGAAGAAAGAAGGAGGAGGAGGAGATGGTGAACGAAACAACAACAACAACAAAAGATGATGAACCACCCCACACGTTTTCATAATAGCGGCCGTGAATAAAAAAAACAACACGCGCGTGCCAGACCGTGAACCTTCCCATTTCCTGACGATGACCATTAAAGAAAAAAACCCCAATAATTGAGAATGCCTACCAAAAATCCCCCCAGAATAATACAGGGGAAGAGACTTGGGGGAGGGGCTGTAGCGACTCTCCAGGCGTGAGCATACCTTTCAACGAGACTTACATCTGAAGCAAGAATGGTGGGGGGGGGAGAAGTGAAGATCTCTCTCTCTTCTTTGACCGGCGTTCAAAACCTCTCTACTTTCATGAGCCACGGTGGCCTTTATCAGCTGATCTTTGTTGATTATACAACCAACCAAGTTGACCGTTCTTCAGCCCCGGTGGAAACTCGCTTTTCGAAAGCAGAGGCTAGAATATTAAATGCGCCTGGCCATTTTCCGGAAGCGAGAAAAGGCCAGAGCTTTAAAACGAGACACAGAGAGAGAGAGAGAGAGAGAGAGCTCAATTCAAAGCTCGAGGAAGGAGAAAAAACAAGGCTCCAAGAACAAGAACTAGACAGAGAGAGAGAAAGGGAGGGGTGAAAAGACCGTAAAGGACAGACTGGAGGAAATTGTCCGACATGCAGTCCTTGAGAATTAAAAGCCCCGAGGTGGGGTCGCTGTCCGGGACGCCGGGATATTACGATGCTGCCCCCCGAGGGCGGCAGGCGCTTTATGTAGCCGTTGGGGGATGGAGGTTTCGGTGAATACGAGTAGCCGGTGGGGGTAATTTCGGGAGCCTGGGGGAAAAGGATCTGGTGTGGTTTTTTTTTTTTTTTTTTTTTTGGTCGAGTGGTGTGGTCTATTTGGCAGATTTTTGAACGTGTCTCGCAGGTACGGACTGGCGGAAACGGGGCGGGGGGAAATGAACGGTCCAGGATGGGCGTGCCGCGCGCGGGGGGAGGGCCATTGGGTGTAGTCGCTCAGACCCTCGATGGTGATGGTGATGGTGATGGTGATGGTGATGATGATGATGATCGGACGGTCGGTAGGGGTCCTTCAATCTGCAATCGACGGAAATTTCGATGATGCAACTCGGAGGGATCGAACCACTTTTTTACAACGATTATTTTACGTTCAATGCTCCATCGACCTCGCGAAAAATAAATTATTTAAAATTTATTTTCTTTAAAATAATTATTTGTATTGCTTGAAATAATTATTTATTTTTGAAAATACTTTCGTGCGATAAACAATTCATGTTTAAATATTTTCGTGGATTATGAAAATATTTTTCATTCATTCATTTTCATAAATGATATCTGAGATAATTTTTTGACAAATATTTTTCAAATAATCCCCTGTATTGTTTGAAATAATTAATCAATAAAAAGGCTTTTTATTATCGAAAATAATCTATGTCTGTATATTTTCTTAAAAGATTAAAATATTTTTCGTTCATTCGTCATTTTTGTAAGCGATACAAACGAAATACGTTTTTGGAAAATGTTTTTCAAACTATACATTTTTTGTTGAACAAACGAAATTCCAAAATTACAATTTTTCAAACTGTTAGATTCTGACGATGCATGGATATTACTCGACTTTTTTTCCTATTGGACAATTTAATTATTTAACTAGTTGTTTGGACCTTAATTTTTTAAATATATATTGAGCATTGACGTAAATTTAAGGAAAAAAACTAATTTCATAGAATTCCCTAAATTGTAACTCATCGCTTGGAGTCGTGTAATTATTTTGGACAAATTAGTTTTTTTAACTGATTAGAGAGAAGGTGTACATATTGACTATAAGTTCTTAGGGAACTGTTGATTGAAAGTGTAATGTGTATGATTATGTCCCAAGTCGAAAATGACATGATCAATTTGCACTATTTTCGTGGTTCCGTTTATGAATAAGTAAAATTCGCAAATGGGATTGTCCATTTGTTTGAGAATTGATGTTCCTCGAAAGATACACTCGAACAACAATTTTGTAATTACATTTTCAATTTAGATAACTTCCGTTCGTTTTATATATACATAAAACAACATCCTCAAGAGAAGCAACGCATGCTTTAGTTCTTTCTTCTTCTTTTTGAGATGTTCTCTTGCTAATGAATGTTACTGGTATTTAACAAAAAGGCACACGAACTTCGTGCGCAAAAATGGGCAGAAAATAACCAAAAAAAAAAAGAGAAACACATGATTTGCATTACTTTGGGAAATGAATTCAAAATGTTGTAAAATGGAGGAGATTTGTTTGATGTGAATTTATGAGAAATTTATGAGATAATTCGGTTATTTTGTTGTCCTTCTAAAATTACAGCTTTGTTTATTGCACGATTATATGTGGTCATCATTCATCTCATGACAATCGTGGATTGTGATTGGAATTTTGTGGGTTAAATTTTGAAGTTGAAATTGCTTTCAGTTTGCTTTCCGATGGAGGGGTATAATAAATGGACGCAATAAATAGCAACTAATAATATCGGATTTGACCTGATAAATGACCTTCGCTTGATAACAGAAGAAACGGTTGATGGGTAGGTGCAATAAATATTATCATCGTAATATACGGCAAGACACTAACTTATGATATTAAACATATATTTTTGAACTCAATGGAAGCAAACCGAACAAATTAAAAAATTACATGAAAATTACCCAATCGATCATAAACGGATTATACGGATGTCAATTCAATTTTAAACTCGTGGTTACACTGATAATCTCACCAAAACATGGGTAGCATCCCTACATGAATTGCCTTAACCCGCTTAATCCCCCTACGTAGCTTTGTCTTCCCTTTGAGGAGGAATACACTTTTGTTGTTTTACATCTAGAGGACGTCCAGGTCCGCATGAAACCTAGAACGAAACAGTTTATCCTCATGCTTAGGAGGAAAAACTTGATGGAAGTAAACCGAACAAATTCAACAATCATGGAGAAATTACCGAATTGATTCTAAACGGATTGCGAGGATGTCAATTCATTCTTAAACTTTTTAATTTTGCCGATATGATCCTAAACTTTTGTGAAAAATTCAAATATAATCCTTCCAACCAATTTTAGCTGGAAATTATTGACGTGGCGGTCCAATCGTCACCGGCCGTCATACGTGACACCCGGCCCACGTTGGCGATTTGCGGTAAAAATTGACCGAATGGATTACATCGGAATTTCGCATAGAGGTTTAAGATTAAATTGGTAAAACTAGAAAGTTTATGACTGAATTAGCATCCGTATAATAGGTTTAAGACTGATCGGACAATTTCACCCAACAATTATGGACCTGAAGTTTATGCGGTGAGTTCACGTGATCATTTTTTCTCAATCTTGAATACGAGGAACATTCTCTCCTTCAAACTGGCCTTGTTCTTATGTGATCGAGTATTTTGGGATAATAGAACAAGAGTCTGAAAACTTGTCACGATGATGCATGTGGGTCCTAAAACTTTTATTCCATGCACTCGAGTCCTAAAAATAGTCACAGTTGACACTTTGATCCTTTCGTTTACTCCGTCAGTTCTTTGTAGATCGAAAATGCCGCGTGGCTAATAATAAATAATTTTTATCCGCTTATGTTGACCAAGTTAAACGAAGGGCACAAGCGCATCGAAATCGCAAGTTATAGGAATGTTCAGAATAAAAGTTTTACGACTCAAATGCGCGACAAGTTTTGTGACTTACCACGTAAGTGTCCTGATTTTTTTTTTCTCCAATCGCATTCCATGCATACATAGGACCGTCCATGTCTTTCCCCTCGATCGAAAGGTAAGGATCAAATTCACGTATTCCTTGTTCTCGAAACCACCGCGATTCCCTTTCAAGGTCATAGATATCGAGCTAAGCCTACTCAAGGAACATAAATATATAAAATAAAAAGGGTACGTTGAGAGTTTCTAATTTCAATGACGGAGTGCGCTCGAATCTTAAAACCGGTATCATTTTCAAGGGGGCTTTCGCATTGAGTTCCCCCTTGATTTTTTGCCAAAGAAAACAAAACGAACAATCAATCACGAAATGGAGAAAGTCCAAAGGCGCCCAAGAAACTCCTGGCTCCCCGATGGTCGGTGCATTTCCCTTTTCGTTGTTTATTGCATTTTGTAGTTCAGGCGGGCATGGGATCGATCGTCATCGTGACAACGTGCTTGCATGAATCGAACGCTCTCCCCTTCGGCTTTTTATTACCCGATCTAGGCTGCAGTTGTGACGGCAGATCTGGCAGACCTTGGGGCCCGTTTTGTGTGATCTGACGATCATTTAATGTTTACCCTAACATATTCGAAATTTAGCTTAATATATGTTCCCTTTTGTTGCTTTTCGCTTTAACTTTATAAACATATATATATTTGGGTAACATTAAATATATATATTTACATATATATAGGCCTCGGAGTCAACTTCGGGGTGAGCAGTGGCGCAGAAGTAATTTTTGAGTTGGTTTCGAAACCAAATAGCTATATTAAAATATATATAAATGCTTAGATACTTTTCCATGTCAATATATTCGCAATTAAAATGTTTTAGATATTTATAAAAATCAAATCTTAAACGCCACAATGTGAACAGAAGTCGCATTAAATATATTTGAACTCTTGGAAAAAAGGGTGTACGATGTTAATATGTCGATGACCTTTGAGGTTTTGACTGACTTTTTAAGTATGGTTCAGCAAAATTTTCTTGGCGGAAAAATGCCAAGATGGGACGTTTGAGTTTTCATTTGGAGCACACCTATTTTGAATTGTCGTGTTCGTTTCCCTATATTGACTTTGAACCTTGTTCGACGGAACTTGATGTTTGAAAATATCAACATCAATCTAGAAGGGTAACTAGAAAATCTAGAAGGGATGCTAGAATCACCATTATGGTCATAAAACCATAAAATGTTCTTAAAAATTCAATTCAAAAACTTAAAATTGATAAGCGAAAGGGATATTACGTGAATACAAAACTTATAAAAACTTCATAGGCGATTTGGATTCCGACTATCTCATACGGAAAAAAAAACCCTTAACGATAGGTTCCGTTTGTTTCGCGGAAAACTTACAAAAATGAGTTGAACTCAAAATATTTTCACCGTTCATAAAAATGTTTAATGCAAAATTATCATCGATAATAAAAGCTTTTTTTTTCATCGATTAATTATTTCAAGCGATACGAACGATCGTTTTACGAAAATACTTTCCAAACCACTCATTTTTTCAATGAAACAAACGGGGCCACGAGAGAAGTTGCGCCTCATATCGTTTGCGAGTATTTGGAGCGATCCTTCGGTCCATCCCGAGTCGACCCAGCTCGCCCGACACGGAGAAGTTCAATTATAATAAGTCAAGAAGCCAACTATCATCTCCAATTGCAATTCTCGGACGCTCAGGACAAAGAAAAAGACCATAAGTTTGTTGTCCTTGGTCCAGCGAGTTATCGAACGAGACCATCCTCCTCCGGGAAGACACAGAACGCGTGGTTCGGACATTGTTTAAAGGAGGAGGCTCAACCTCCGGTCGCTGTGGAAATCGAGGTTTGGTGGTTGGGTCGTTCGTACTTTAATGGAATGATTCTTTGTCGCTACTCGGTAGGAGCAT